CTGCAGGTGAATGATGCAATCGCACCTGTAGATGAGCATTCCGTAAGAATTGCTCCAGAGAGGATCCAGAATGTCTCTCTGGAAGGTGATGTTTTAACCATTTCTCTCCACAGGGACTATGTTGAATCTGTAGATCTGGCAGGTCATGCTCAATTCCTTGCCAGAATTGAAAGGGTTAATAACAACTTATTCTTTCCTATTCAAATACATGACTTAGGAAGAAGTAGGAATGCAAAGCTGGACTTACAGAGTGAGAACAGCTATATTAGCAGAAGTCTGTTAAAGCAGATTGCTAATCCTAAAATGATCAGGTACGCTTCCCCACATGACAGGTGGATCCAGAATCTGGATGGCGAATCAGAGAGTCACAATGTGATAGCAAAATGTTTACTATCTATTTCCATCGGAAATAAGACAGTTAAACATTTATTCCTAGTGATAGACGAACCTCACTATCAGGTTTACGTTGGCAATGATGTCATACATCGCTTTGCCATACACCTTGACCTGATTAATTCCAATTTGTGGACAAGGTTAAAAGGTAATCCTTGTGGATACCTTCACAAGGAAATCGCCCTGAAATCAGGACAAATACTCCCATATGCGGTAAGTATCCAAGTTCCTGATGACATAACCATTCTACAAGGGACAAGTAACTTTCTTTTACCCCTACAGGTCAAGGAGGGTCAGAGATTAGAAAACTCTGATGCCCTAATCTGTTTATCCAATAGGATACAACAATTAAGGATGGTGGTAACACATACACCAATGGTAAGTATTGGTAAGAATCCCACCTATATCATGGTCAACAATGTTACACCCAATAGTGTTACTTTACCAAAAGGAACATTATTAGGTCTAGCATTGGATGCTGAGTACTATACATTTGGTTTCCAAAACCAAATTATAGGCCTCATCCCTGAAGAATACTTAACTGAGGACGAAATTGTCGATCAAATATTCCATTCCTTCCCAGAAGGATTATTCACTATCCTATCTGTATATCCCTTCAACGTCGAAGAAGGCTCGTGTAAAATCGAAGAAGCATCAATTACCTTCGATCATCCGCTCAATGAGCAGGAATCACAAGAGTATCACGACCAAAGAGAAAAGGTAAGTCAACACCGAACTGACCTAACTTCTAGGCTTGAAGAAGCTTATGAGATAGGCCAGCCTGAAATCTTTCCAGGATTTCAGGAAAGGCTAGAAGAGCAAATATCTTTAGCTGACGGTTGCTCCAACGATGCTGAGCGACAGCAGCTAAAGGAAATCCTAATGGAATTCCAAGATATTTTTGCCAAAGATTCCTACGACTGTGGGTTAACTAACCTCCACGTAGCCAGAATACAAACTGATCCAAATTTACCACCTGTATTTATCAAACAATATAGACTCCCATTAGCGTCATATGATGGTCTACAAGACATCATTCAGAATTTAAAGGAAAGTGGCATTATACGTCCGGTGCACAGTTCGTATAATAATCCGATCTTGGGGATTCTGAAACCTAATGGACAATGGCGTTTATGCGCTGACTTACGACAGCTAAATAATCGCGTCTATATGTCTGGTTGGCCAACGCCATACATAGACCAATGTTTGGTACAAATGCAGGGATCCAAAATATTCACTGCCATTGACTATGCACAGGGATATTGGACTGTACAGTCCATAATGAAGACCAATACAAATTGGCCTTCACATTTGGAAAGCAGCAGTATACCTGGACCCGTATGCCTTTCGGTTATATAAACTCTGGTCATGAATTTGCTGTGTTCATGCATAAAGCTATGCCTGACGCACTCGAGAGAGGAACGTTATCATATGTCGACGATGTCTTGCTGAAAAGCACTTCCTTTGATAAGCATATCTTAGAGATTAGACATGTTCTCACTCAGTTAAGAGAGGCAGGGATTAAACTGTCTTTACAAAAGGCGCAATGGTGTCGCACCCATGTCAATTTCCTCGGACATGAGGTAACTTCTGAAGGATTAAATCCCCAGAGGAAGAAGGTTGAAGCTGTACTAAAGGCTAAAACACCTTCAAACATCAGGGAATTAAGATCGTTCCTTGGTATGACTAACTACTCCCGTAAGTTTATAGATAACTATGCAGAAATAACTAAACCACTCTTACACCTGCTTAAAAAGGAAACTACCTGGAACTGGGGGGAGCCTCAGGACCAAGCGGTAAGTGAACTGAGGAGGAAGCTCACTCAGGCACCCTGTTTAGCATACCCAGAGGGGGGTAAACCCTTCTATCTGGAGACAGGATATACCGATTTAAGCATAAGTGCTGTTCTGTATCAGAAGCAGGACAGTTTAAACAAAGTTATTGCATATGCTAGCAAGACTTTGTCACCTGTTGAAGTTAAATTCAACACGTGTGAGAAGGCGTTATTGTCGACTGTCTGGGCACTACAAAATTTTCGTAGCTATATCCAAGGTGAGAAAATAATTGTAGAAACAGCTCACCAACCTCTACAGTATCTGCAGAGTGAAAGAATTAGTGACGGTAATCTCTCTAACAGTCGGATTACTGCATGGACTCTATCCTTACAGGGATGGCCGTTAGAAGTTCGTTATAAACATAATAAGAGAAGCCTAGTTGCCCAAGGTTTAGCAGAATTACATGACTGTACTGCTCCATCTCTGGATGATAATGACACCGGTGATGACTTCCTAGAAGAGCAATTGCTATCTCCTTATAAAGTTTATGACGAGGAATACTGTCGACCACTACCGTGGGTATACATTGATGGTTGTTCATATCACCACGTCATTGGTGCTGAATGGAAGTTAGTTGCAGGTATCGGAATCGCCTGGATAGGTGATTATCCCAATGTATCTATAGGATACAATATTGGTCCCAAAAGCAGTCAGATAGCCGAACTCTGTGCAGTATATAAGACCATTCAAATGGCAATAGAATATGGTATCAAAGAATTTGTTATTATAACTGATTCCAACTATGTTCGCAACAGTTTCGTTGAATATCTGCCTAGCTGGAAACGTAACCAAATGCTCAAAAGCAATAACAAACCTGTTAAACATGGGAAATTGTTTTGTAAAATCGATGAGTTGGTTAAGGAAAATGGTTTAACCATATATTGGAAGAAAACCAAAGGCCATTCTAAAATAGAAGGTATTGACAAGGATGGTAATGACTTAGCTGATTCACTGGCAAAACAAGCTGCCATCAATGGTGAAACCCTGAACATTGATGATCTTATGGGTTCAATTCATGTTGAAGCCATAACTAGACGACAGGCTAGAGATAATGCCGACTTAAACGTCGTGCAATGGAGTCAAGAAGCTCCTAGTGAGGACCTGATTACTAGTCAAAAGAATGATCCCGTCATAGGCATATTCTATAGACATATAGAAGACCCTACTGCCAATCCCATCACAGATGAGGATTGCAAAGATAATGAAGATTTACGAATCTTGATGAGATATAAAGTCCAATTTAGTATCATGGATGGGTTGCTGGTCAGAACTTCTAAACATGGTATACAACAATGGGTAGTCCCAACTGTATACAGAGGGTTAATGCTCCAACACGCACATGATGCACCTACATCTGGGCATCGTGGTGATAAGATCACATATGAGATATTGCGTGATTATGCATATTGGCCACACATGTTAAGGGATGTTAAGACATACTGTCAGGGATGCTTGATTTGTCCGCAATATCAACCCCATGGTCCAACCCATCGTGCACCACTTCAGAAGAGGGGGGTGTCATTACCCTGGTCTGATATTCAAATTGACTTTATAGGTCCTGTAACAAGATCTTCAAGAGGTAACAAATACATGTTAACCGTTACATGTATGTACACAAAGTGGATAGAATGTTTGCCTTGTAAAGAGAACACGAGTACCGTGTGCGCCACTTTGTTGATTAACCATGTCTTTTCCAGGTTCGGTCTGCCTCAAAGAATTGAGTCAGACAGAGGTAGTCATTTTACCAGCGAAGTAATGGCTAAGATGTGGAAAATTCTAGGTGTTAAACGAAAGCTACATATTGCATACCGCGCTGCGTCTAGCGGGGGGGTAGAGCGATATAACCAGTCTATCGTTAATATTCTGAAGAAATATGTTAAGGAGTCTGGTAAAGACTGGGACATTAAATTGCCCCTAGTTTTAATGGCGATTAGAGCTACACCTAGCACTGCTACCAAATTGGCACTTTTTGAATTGATGACAGGAAGAAAGATGGTTTTACCACAGCATTTACTATATCGTACTTCGGATCATAACTTGATCAATGCTGCCACTACGCATCAGTATATCGAAGATTTGCGCAACCATTTACAGCATGCGTTTGCTTTTGCCCAAATGAATCTAGAAAAAGCAGCGACAGGGGTTAAGACCTATTACGATCTAAAAACTACGAAAAAGGAATATGAGATCACAGATCAAGTCTATCTGTATAACTTTGCGCGAAATCAAGTCAAGGAAAATAAATTTTTACCTTCTTGGAAAGGGCCATATGTCATTATTGACAAAATTTCCCCAGTAGCGTATAAGATAAAAATTCCTAAGGATGGTGATTTTATTGAAAAGTGGGTTCACATTAACCAGTTGCGTGCTTGTCATCCTAAATCTCAATTAAGGATTATAGGTGTGGATTCAGATGCAGAAGGGTGAACGACTAACCTGGATGAATGCTTGATTCACGTGGTATAGTATGATGTGAATTGTTGTGATGTGCCATGATCTCATGTACGTTCATGTCATTAACCATTTCCTTGCTATCCAATAACTACATTTTTAAGCAGGTTATTAGCTTGTTTAAATGCTATAGGCAAATTACTGAAGAGTCAGTAATAAATGTAGTGAGGGATGAAGTTATAAAAATAGAATTAGAGAGAATACATATGTGATGAATCGTAATAATGTGTTGTCACACTGTTATAAGTTTGTATGCTTAACAAACCTTGAATCATTAGTAGATAAGTCTGAAACGAGTTCCTGATCCGTGACTGTCGAAAGATGTCCAAGAAGGATGTGGCGAGTTTCTGGATCGTACTGCTCCTGTGCCAAGAGCTACAGACCGACCCGATCGCAGAGATGGGACCATCCTCCAGCATCCTGATTCAAGAGACACCAGAGTTCATCTTGACAGAGAAGAGGATCCTGACCCGACGTGTGTTCGTCAGCTTGGACCCCAAGATTTCCATGGAGAAGGCATACAACATTTCATCGATGCAGCTTCCTGAGTTACAGACTTGGTACCAGATGCACCTCCAAAGAGCACAGGACCGTGTGCGAAACATCTTGGAGCAAGCCCGGAAACCATTTGTATCCAGTTCTATTCCGATGAGCAACCGACCCAAAAGGTTCCTCACCGCTATAATTGTTGCATTATTGTGCCACTGTCGGTGCAGTTGTCGCAAATGGAATGTCTGCAGCCAACTCTATTACTGTCCAAAAGCTGGATATGGAAATCTATGCGCTAAAGCAACACATTAACGATATTCATCAGGTGATACAACAGCAAAGAACACTTCTTCAAGACGTGTTAACCATTGTGGAAGACACAGTTGTTACAACAAATTTGCATTCAGAATTAATTGCCAAATCCACTGAGTTGCACCAAAGTCATGACTTATTTAAGCGTGAACTTCTATTTCTGCATGACCCAATATTGTTCCACACACTTGCTTTTCTCGACGAAGTGCAAACTGGAATGATCGAATTGGCAGGGGGACGCATACCTCTGTATTTTGTATCCAAGGATATTGTTCATGCGATGCTTGCCAATGTGGATGGAGAGACAATTGAGCCTTTGCAATTAAATCTGGCCTTTGAGATGGGGAGCTCTATACCTCTCTTAATTGATCCGGAACGTATGGAGATTTGCTTTTTATTGGCTATACCATATGTAACTCCCAAAAACACTGTTCAAATGAAAACAATGTACTATGATAATAATGATATTATGGTTGATTGTACTAGGTGTAAAGTTCAAAACTCTTACAGGTACAAATATATACAAAAATGTTTATTCCACGCACAGGCCTATGTTAGAAATGATGTGATTGCACAATATGTCTGGTAACTTCTATAGTGCTTATTCATAAGCTAAATTAATTTTGGCTACGAAATGCACTAAAGGGGGGTTAGGTCAGGGTATTTATATCGGCAGACATCTTGTGCTATGATAGAAATTAATAGTGTATATTCTGAGTCACTTTGAACAGACCAGACTCCATTTTGTTATTTTCAAGTTAACAAAAAGACACAAGATTTCTATCTGTAAAACTAACCACTTTGCCAGAGCTAAAGGAATGCATAGTATAAACAAAAGTGATAAGAAGAACGGGGGTTGGATAGACTGTCTAAAATGCTAATGGAATATAATCAATTCTAAACCCAGACATTTGTGACAAAGAAGATTAAATAATTTAATTTTACTGTCTATATATATATAAGGTACCATTGTATGGAAAAGGGTAAACTTAGTTCATGATCTGCCATATCAGAAATTATAGCAGGAATTGCAGACACTAAGTCTGGACAAAACTTAAAGAAACCCTTTGATCTGAAAGGATACGTAAGTTATAGTGGTCATTTGAGATAAGCAAAATGACGTCAAAATAGCCACCAGGAAAAGTTAACTCTTTCCTGGATAGGTATGTTTAGTGGGACAAGGCTGCCCTCTATAGACCAAATAACTAATTTGCGATCTGGAAGATAACCACACCTCTAGTGCTTCTATTGGGTTATCAACTGATGACGTACAGAGAGTCTGGCCCTTTAAAAGTTAAGACAAAGGGAAGACAGGGAGAGGCAGAGGAGAAGGAAAAAGAGGAGAGAGGAATTGGAAGTTTGGGGACTCCAACTCGGACAACATCTGAGACTAACACTCTACTCTTAAAACTCTAACACTTAGAATTTTACTGACTTCCTAACCAACACCACCTTTCACTATAACTCATGCACCTACAGACATCCTAATAAGTTCCTGAGACTATATACCAATCGGATGAAATATCTACTCAACTGGTAATTATACTGGATTCATTTAATTAATTTAAATTAATTAAAGTTTATTAATAGCATGATATGACTGGATAAATCACGGTCAGATTTCCATATTAAGAAATCTTAGTTAACTAAAGAATATATAGTTATAAACATTCCATTCTGCAGGTGGAATTAAGAATAATTATATATTAATGTGATATTATCACGTGTTAGCATACCGTTGTTTTTATCCAGGTGTATTGATTTGCTCTAATATAAGATAGATATCTTTTAGACAAACAAAATCTGCTTATATAATCATGGTAGATTCTCTTATTGGATGGTTCCAGGAAATGACTAATGAACTGGTTTAAATGTTATTTTATTTAAAAATTACATAAGAATAGATCCTAATTACCTAGGAGATCTAGCCAGCATTGAAAGGGTTATTCTAACTGTTAACCAGGGTTTTATGGCCCTTCGCTGTGAAAAGTTTAACTTTCAGTCTGTGTGAAAGATAGTCATAAATCGTCAGAAGACTTGACAGAAAATGCTGTTTAGCCATTGAAATGTGTATACCTATTCCTTTGTATTGCATACCATTTTATACTGGATATTCATTGATTATTGTCACGCATGTTACATATTATTATTATTATTAATTAATTTGTTATTATAAATAAAATCTATTTTTATAACAAAATTGTGATATTATTATATGAAATACTTCTCACTTACGATAAACGTTCTTTGGGATCTGAGAATTGAATTAGTGGGCAATTCTCACTGTTACTATTATTATCCCATAAATATCCCCACAGTACTAATGTGTAAGAATGTGTACATAAGCACAATAAACCCACAGCTCTGACTGTTCACTGCTTGACCCTCAACACGGAGCTTTGTCTCGTTCTTGGGGGGGGATTTATTGTATGCTGTTCCAGTTCGACTGCTAGGAGTGTAAACCTATCGTATGGTTTTTCATATTCGGCTGTTTACAGTATTCGTATGGTTCCAGTTCGGCTGTTTACAGCATTCATATGCTTTTCCTGTTCGGCGGATTGGTGTTCTGCAGTAGCTGTGCCTGTGTCTCTGGAAGGGGAATATCGCCTAAACGGTTTTTAACCTCTTGTGGGCAAAACGGTCCGTTACAAATTCCATGGATCAAATCATATAGATTAAATTAAAGAGAAACTCTTGATACAGTGTACAGATAGATGCCTGGTTAAATCTTTGAAAAAAATGGTATATACGCAGTGTGTGTTTGCAGTTGTATATTAGCTTAAAGTGAAAGAAATTTGTCTATACCCTCCAAACAGCAATGTACAGTCTCTTGTCAGGAACTAGCTATATATTGTATCTTATTTGTAACTAATAGAGACCACGTTTCGAATAAACTGCTTGGATACAGCCACTAGGTGGAACGCTTATAAACTAATCCCATTAATAGTAGATACATTTTAGCACCCAGCCTGCACAAGAGTTGACTCTATAGGAGGAGTGATAATATTGGGAGGTTATGGGTAGTTATTAGAGGCAGATAGCAATCAGTTAGAGAGGCGGTAACATCCTATTATTAGATGGAGAAGGTTCAGTCTGTGATTAACTCACCTTACATACTAAATTGAACTGGCATACAGGTATCTAAAAGGGCTAGTTTAGATCCTCCATAATGCCATAGATAGTCAACTGAAGCTTGTCTCTAACACAAAAAACAGAAGGTTCAATAAGAAAATAAAATAAAATACAGAAACCATCTAATTCTTTATACAGCAAAGTAGCAGTCTGTCTAGTGAACTGCCATATTATATGATAGCAGTCTGACAGGTATCTGATACAACTAGTATAGGCTGTATATAAAAGTAATGTGAAAGCAAGTTAACCCCTTGATTATTAGGACCGCAGTGTAGGAATCTTATGTCTGAGAAAGAAACTTCCCCATAGCCTGCAGACTAACAAGAGCTTGTCTCCCATATCAAAAAAATAACAAAGAGTATATACAATTTTGATTTATGTTCTTCCAAAGCTAAAATCAAGGATTCCATCTAGTGCTATTTTATGGCTCAGCTGTATTTTGAAATGTTATGTTATTTTAAGTGATTTCCCTATCCACATTTGTTTGCAGGGCACTTGTCCTATTCTTACCCCCATTTTACTTCCCTTTGCAGCTCTCTAGCCCTTTCCAGGAGTTTTTAGAGGCATTTTTGTGCCCAAAAGTTTGGGTCCCCATTGACTTCAATGGGGTTCGGGGTCAAGTTCGGGGTCAAGTTCGAGCCCGAACCCGGACTCAGCCTAACCTGCCGGACCCGAACATCCAGGTATCCGCTCAATTCTACTTATAAACTATGTCCAGTACTCTTTATATGGGTCATAAACACCTAGAGACTGTGGTACTATACTGTATATATATATCATATATATCACAATGAAGAATGCCCTGTTAATTCAGGACGAATAGGCCAGTATATTACTACCACAAAGGAAACTATTTCTAAAACCTCTTATATATGGGGTAACCTGTTCATGGGTAGTTTATCAGCCTCTGGACCCACATAACAATCCATGAATGGACACGGAAAAAAGTGCTTGAGAGTCACAATCGGAATGATTTCATACATTTATGTTGTGTACAACTGAGAAGTGACTAACTAACCGACTACTAAGAGGTACTTTATCAAATTACGTATATCTAGTTCATTTAAGTTTCGGATGTACATCCCTGGGCACTATTGTGAAGATGTGAATACGGGTTATGGATTGCTTACCCATTATATGCAAGGTATAGTTCTTATTTAACGTGGTTCCAACAAAGTCTATTGAAGTGTTTAAGGGGCGGAACTGATCCGCCCCATTACGCCATAAAGAAATTGACTGGCATACTTGTATTGGGAGGCGGGGCGAAATAGATCTGCAAGAAGCTCCGCCCCTAAAATTCTACAAAGAATACACTCATTGGGGGGCGTGGCAATACTCCTATATATTTAAGCCCAAGTTCAGTTGCCGGGAGCTCTTGACAAAGGCGTGCTGTCACACCGAAACGCGCGTCGAGCATTTCCTTTTGCCGACAGTCCGATTTTATTTTATTTTCTGGGAATGTAAATAGCTGTATATAATGTGATCGAGTTTTGAGTGAGGGCTTAGGCTGGTAGTTAAACAGGCAGCCCACTTTGGAGCATTATGTAGCGGTGGCAATCTAAAGCATGGCTGTCAGAAGGATCACCAGAATTATCCATTATAGAGAGGGTTGGAGTGCAGGGTATTCTCTTTCATTGTTCAAACTAAGCTCAACTCTTGCTGCATGGAGAAAAGGCCTTCACAAGCCTCTGCTAATGTGTACATAGTTTATACTAAGTGACCCATAGGTTGAGGAGGCGGTGAGCGTGGCGGTGTAGGTGGAAGCGGCGGTGGTGGAGGAGGAGGTAGCCAACACTGTTTTTTTATATATATATTTTTTTTTTAATTGGGGTAGCCCCCAAAATATTGGGACATATAAAAAAAGAATCATTTGCGGCCTTCGGTGCATTTCTTGCAGTCCTGATGCATGGAGAAATGCTCAACTCCTGATGCGTGGAGAAAAGGCCTTCACAAGTCTCTGCTATTGTGTACATAGTTTATACTAAGTGACCCATAGGTTGAGGAGGCGGTGACCGTGGCGGTGGAGGTGGAAGCGGCGCTCAATTCTACTTATAAACTATGTCCAGTACTCTTTATATGGGTCATAAACACCTAGAGACTGTGGTACTATACTGTACACATATATATCACAGAGAAGAATGCCCTGTTAATTCAGGACGAATAGGCCAGTATATTACTACCTCAAAGGAAACTATTTCTAAAACCTCTTATATATGGGGTAACCTGTTCATGGGTAGTTTATCAGCCTCTGGACCCACATAACAATCCATGAATGGACACGGAAAAAAGTGCTCGAGAGTCACAATCGGAATGATTTCATACATTTATTTCATACATTATGTTGTGTAGTAAACACTGTTTTTTAAATACATATTTTTTTAATTGGGGTAGCCCTGAAAATATTGGGACATATAAAAAAAGAAACATTTGCGGCCTGCGGTGCATTTCTTGCAGTCCTGATGCATGGAGAAATGCTCAACTCCTTATGCATGGAGAAAAGACCTTTACAAGCCTCTGCTATTGTGTACATAGTTTATACTAAGTGACCCATAGGTTGAGGAGGCGGTGACCTTGGCGGTGTAGGTGGAAGCGGCGGTGGAGGAGGAGGAGGTATCCAACACTGTTTTTATATATATATATATATATATATATATATATATATATATATTTCAAATTAAGGTAGCCACCAAAATATTGGGACATATAAAAAAAAGACAACTCTGTTCCGCAGAGTAGCTGTTGACATTATAGTTGCACAGGCACTTTGTTGACTCTAGAGAACCTCGGGCCAATCGCACATCTCCGTGACGGCGACTTTGCATTCGAATGTCATCCATATCAACTTTCGATGCCAGTTTCTGCGCCTACCATGGTGACCACGGGTAATGGAGAATCAGGGTTCCATTCCGTACAGGGACCGTGAGAAACGGCTACCACATGCAAGGAAGGCAGCAGGCGCGCAAATGACCCACTCCCGACACGGGAAGGTAGTGACGACAAATAACAATACAGGACTCTTTAGAGGCCCTGTAATTGTAATGAGTCCACTTGAAATCCTTTAACTCTGATCAATTGGAGGGAAGTCTGGTGCAGAGCCACTGACTCGTGCGTGTTGCAGCTGAAACTCCACTATCGCCTGCTGCTGCTCAAACAGTCTCTCCAGCATGTACAAGGTGGAGTTCTACCTTGTGGGCACATCGCATATGAGGCAGTGAGTGGGAAGACCAAACTTACGCTGCAGCACAGACAGGCGAGTAGCAGCAGGGTGAGAACGCCGAAAGCGCGCACAGCCGCTACAGTGAATGTCACATCCTGTTCCAAGTTGCGGATCAGTCTGGTGATGGCTTCTGGTATCCAGTACTCTTTTTACTGAAGCTGCATCAGGGTCCTGGTATGTTGCCGCACAAACGCTCAACTCCAGGGGGTGTGCAGTTACCCTGCACCAGACCCTGCTAATCCATTCCACACTGTGACTCCTAACTTCAACATCAGGCATACTGGGTCTCGGTCATCCGATTGCGGCCCAGACAGTGTCTTGGTCCCGGTCACCAGACTGCCCACCTGACTGTGAAACTACAAATGGATCGTTAAATCTGGTACGAACTCAACTCTATTATGGATCCTTTGATCACTACATGTATTACTTGGATAACTGGTAATTTTCAAGCTAATACATGCCAACGAGCGCTGGGGGACGGCTGCTCCGCTTTTGCACCCTGCTCCCTCTCATGCTGTGTTGTTCTCTGTGCAACCAGCGCCTCTTCCTCCAAACTGCACACGTCACCCGCATGACCTTGATTCCATATGGGGTCTAGGACCTCATCATCCTCCACATCATCTTCCACCCACTCCTCAACCCTGCCCTCCTTGCCGGTATGAATACTGCATAAAGCCACAGCAGTTGGCACCTGTGTTTTTCCAGCATGTAAAGTCTGCAAAGGACATATGGAAATTGTTTTAGAACTGTATCCAGTCAACAGTTTTCCCTATAAACTGACCTCTCAGTTTGACTTGTGAGGGTATTGCCCCAGAATTACAATATTGTTTAAGTACCTTAGCTATTGATAACTGGTTTAAATATAGCAGCTTGTTATCTAGTAGTTTCTAGTGTAGAAAATATCAATCTGTTTTCTATCACTTAGATCTGTGTAACATGTGTTGTAGGTGTGAAACAATATTACAAGTGACCGATGTAGTAAATTTGAATCAAAGTTACGCTTCGATTTGACTCTCAGATATGAAGAGCAGGCCCCAAAATGTACTATTTAGCAGATTAGCACCCAGAAAATAAGAATTTTTACAACTGAGCAGTAAGTGCACTATTAGACATTCTATTTGACTCTCAGATATGAAGAGCAGGCCCCAAAATTTACTATTTAGCAGATAAGCACCCAGAAAATAAGAATTTTTACAACTGCGCAGCGTGACAAAACTAACCTCGCCACTGGGTTATGGAGAAGCCTGATTGCCAGCCTCCTGCCTCATGACTATGGCCCCTCATCAACCCATGCTAGACTTAAACCCCATGGCAATTTAACTGTGTTTGTGGGATCTGAGCGGCGGTTTGGATATATTGAGCGCTCAGATCCAAGCCATCTGGGGATAGGTTGAATGTGGGGGTTCTGTTCAGTATGATAGGAATTATGTGTTTTTGTGTGTTTTTGCTGCTGTTGGGAATGGAGATGTTTTCTGTGCCTGGAGATGGTTGGCTTGCCACACCCAGTTAAGCCAATTATCTCCAGGATAGAGGATTCTGTGGAACTGGTTTTTGGCAGAAAAGCCATGCTTCAGTGGTCACAAAGGACTTTCAACCTAACTTTTAAACCACTGGAGGAAATTGTATGATTTGTCTGATGTGAGTATGTTTGTATTTGGAGTATGCTGATTTTGGAAATGTGAGTTTTAAGTGAATGTGATGTTTACTTTTAAAGTTATGAATATTGTGTAAAACTGTGTATTTTCCTGCCAGTGATAATTATGTTAGCCCGTTGTGTTCAGTAATTATATCATAGGCAGAGGGGAGGATTTTGCTGGAATGAATGGGAGTGTTCATTTTATATAAAAACGTATATTACGTGTTTGATTGGATGTTCCACAAAACCCTGTGGGTGGTACTAATGTGTAAGAATGTGTATATAAGAACAATAAAAACACAGCTCTGTCTGTTCCTGCTTGACCCTCAACACGGAGCCTTGTCTCGTTCTTGGGGGTGAATTTATTGTATGCTGTTCCAGTTCGACTGCTAGGAGTGTAAACCTTTCTTATGGTTTTTCCTATTCGACTGTTTACAGCATTCGCATGTTTGAGAGCATGGATTGGTGTCTACAGTAGCTGCCTTTATATCTGGAAGGGAATATCTCCTAAATGGCTGTTAACCCCTTTTATGCCTGGGGGTGCCGTTACAATTGGTGGCAAGCGGCGGGATCATTCCCACAGCCCAGAAGGACAGCTGCAAAGAAACACCATTTCTCTGGATTTACAAACTGAGGGCAATGCATGTCTGAGTACAGCGACCCTGACAGCATCAGGATGGAACCAGCAGTGTCATACGATGAGGGTGTCATGGACGACCGAGATGCAGTCCGCAAAGGCATCTGGTACCAGGCACTGGATAATATACAGCACCAGCGGGGCGAGGGACTCCCCAATGAGGAGAAGCGACAGCAGACACGAGTGGCACTGCGGATGCCCCACCTGGGAGAGCAGCCCCTGGAGGAGTGGGTAAAGGAATTGGAGCACCGGGTATGGCAGGAGCTGTGGCTGGAGGATGCCTACCAGGCACTCTGGTGGTATGCAGCGCAGTATATACCCTGGACAGCCGAGCATGACAAGCCAGAGGGAGAGGTGTTTGATAGTCCTGGTTTGTTATGGGAGTCGTTTTCGGAGCCTGATTTTGGGAGCTCTACACAAACCCGGTTCCGTGACATTTTTTGATTGGAGGGAGAGTATGTACGTCTGGGATGACCCCTATGAGGTGGAGCAAGACCTGGCCCACCTAGCGACCCGAGCTGGAGCAGGACTACCAACACCTGTTCCACTCCATTGAGAAGGCACGACAGGAAAGCAGAGCGGCAGATCCAGTTCCAGACCCCTTCAGCTGGGAAGATATTGTAGAGATTTACTGGGAGGAACCCCAGACGGCAGGTGGAGATGGGACCGAGGTCTCTCCACCAGCCCTACAGGGATGCTGGGCGGTCGGGCCAGATCCCCAGGGGCAGATTGATTTGCAGGGAATAGAGAGCCATGTCTCCTTTCCCCAGCAGCAGAGTGATTTGCAGGGAATAGAAAGCTCTGTCTCTCTCCCCCAGCGGCCGAGCGAAGTGCAGGGAGTGGAAAGCATCGTCTCCCCTACCCAACGGCAGTATCCCTTGCAGGGAGAGGAGAGCCCTGTTTCCAATCCCCAGCGGCAGAAGGAGCTACAGGGGGCAAGGACAGTTGGTCCTGCTACCCAACAGCAGTGTGTTTTACTGGGAGAGGAGAGACTCGTCCTCCCTCCCCAGTGGCAGTATGAAGAGTGTCCTACAGGGAGCAGAGACAGTCGGTCTCTCTCCCCAGTAGCAAGACAATTTATTGGGAGTGGAGACATTTGGTGTACCTCCCCAGCAGCTGAAAGTGTGTAAGGGAGAGGAGCTTGTTACCCCCTCACCCCAGCGGCAGCTTAGCCCACCAAGGGAAGACACTAAGTTCCCCACCGGCGCAGATGGGACCATGGTCTCTGCGCCCAAGCTACAGGGAGTACGGACAGTCGGTCCTGCTCCCCAGCGGCGTTGTCTTCTACTGGGAGGGGAGAACCTCATCCCCCCCTCCCCAGCGGCAGCCTAGCCCACCAAGGGAAGATGATAAGCCCCACACCGGTGCAGATAGGTGCCCAAACCACAGGGAGTAGGGACGGTCAGTCCTGTCCCCCAGCAACAGGGCTGTTTATACAAAGGGGAGACAGCCTGTCTTCCCCTCCAGCAGCATCCCCAAGTCCAGAGTGAGGAGCCTACTACCCCTTCTCCTCAAATGGGCTCCTACCAGGCTACTCACGTTGTAGCGCTGGTACCAGGGCAGAGTACCGCTGGTCTCTGCCCACTCAGCAACCCACCCATTCGGAGTGCTAGTACCCCCACAGCCTTGGTGGAGCCCCTGGACATGGACAAGCTACCCACTACCCCAGGTGCAGTAAACGCTTATTGTGGGTGGGTTGTACTGGTGATTCTGTTTTGTGGGTGGGTTGCTGGACTAACCCAGACACTGACCGACAGGAGGTCAGATGCCTTGTTAGTCTTTTTGGGAAAAGGGGAGATATGTGGCGAAACTAACCTTGCCACTGGGTTATGGAGAAGCCTAATTGCCAGCCTCCTGCCTCATAAATATGGCCCCTCTCATCAGCCCATGCTAGACTTAAACCCCATGGCAATTTGATTGTGTTTGTGGGATCTGAGCGGCGGTTTGGATATATTGAGCACTCAGATCCAAGCCATCTGGTGATAGGTTGAATGTGGGGGTTCTGTTCAGTATGATAGAAATTATGTCTTTTTGCTGCTGTTGTGAATGGAGATGTTTTCTGTGCCTGGAGATGGTTGGCTTGCCACACCCAGTTAAGCCAATTATCTCCAGGATAGAGGACTCTGTGGAACTTCTCCGGTTCGGTGGATTGGTGTCTACAGTAGCTGCCTGTATATCTGGAAGGGGATATCTCCTAAACGGCTGTTAACCCCTTTTATGCCTGGGGGTGCCGTTACACGCAGTAAGCGCACTATAAGACGCTTCTCTTTGACTCTCAGATATGAAGAGCAGGCCCCAAAATGTACTATTTAGCAGATTAGCAGCAAAACAATTAGAATGTTTACAACTGTGCTGTAAGCGCACTATTCAACACTTCTATTTGACTCTAATATATGAAGTGCATCGCAGGCCGCAAATGTACTATTTAGCAGATTAGCAGCAAAAACAATTCGAATGTTTACAACTGCGCAGTAAGCGCACTATTTGACGCTTCTATTTGACTCTCA